CTCCCGGCCCCTCTGCCCGGGCCGCGCAGGCCGAGGCGCGCAGGGCCCCCGCGGCGGGAGGCCCGCATGGCACTCCAGCCCCACTGGCGCCCCTGGGGCGGCCGAGCCTCTCCCCAGTATCGCCCTGCCCGGGCTCTCAGCGTTGAAGTACTGAAGCAGTCTTAACTTTTTATGCATAAACTTTCTTTGAAATTTTAAAGACTTTCTTCACGTTCAAATCATAATGAAACCTGTAAACTAAACCCAGCCCCTGTGGTGGACCTGTCAGTACTGTGCCCTGTGAGGGCTCAGGGTGTCTGCTCGACTGATTTCATAATTGAAACATGAAAATGATAGTAAACTGAAGAGTTTTCTAATAGTCTGCATGGCATAGTATCCATGGCAGGGTTTCAGGGGATTTTATTTCTAACTACTGTGTTTCTCTTCTCTTGTGGTAGATGAAAATGAAGCAGAGAGACCAGAGGAAGAAAAAGCTAGGTGGGTATCTTGACAACTGGAAGTCCTGTAGTGTGGCTACACAAAAATTGAATTCACTGTATTCTTCCCAGCTGCTTGAAACGCCATAGTGTCTGAACACACTCTGGTGTCTTTGAAATTCCCCTTAAGATAGTATGTTTGGTCTGCTAGGATGACTTTTCTGTGAAATGGTTTTACCTGTGCAATTGGGACACTCGACTATGAAAGTTATTTTGAGTTTTAACTGTATGGACAGCAATAGCACCTCACAAAATGCCAAGAGGTCTTTTATTTCTGTAATCATTGTACTTTGCAGCCTTAGTAATAGATCAGGACTTCGTTTGTTGCAGATAGTTTAGAAATTAAAACACAGACTCTCTCCCAGAAAATCATATCATAGAATGGTTTGAGTTGGAAGGGACCTTAAAGACCATCTAGTTCCAACCCCCTGCCATGGGCAGGGACACCTTCCACTAGACCAGGTTGCTCAAAGCCCCGTCCAACCTGGCCTTGAACGCTGCCAGGGAGGGGGCAGCCACAGCTTCTCTGGGCAACCTGTGCCAGTGACTCACCACCCTCACAGTAAAGAATTTCTTCCTTCTAATCTAAATCTACCCTCTTTCTGTTTAAAACTGCTCCCTCTCATCCTATCACTACAATCCCTGATCAAGAGTCCCTCCCCATCTTTCCTGTAGCCTCCTTTAAGTTCTGGAAGGCCACTGTAAGGTCTCCCTGGAGCCTTCTCTTCTCCAGGCTGAACAACCCCAACTCTTTCAGCTTGTTCTCATAGGGGAGGTGCTCCAGCCCCCTGATCATCTTTGTGGCCTCCTCTGGACCTGCTCAAGCAGGTCCATGTCCTTCCTGTGTTGGGGGCCCCAGAGCTGGACACAGTGCTGCATTGCAGGTGGGGTTTCATAAGAGCAGAGTAGAAGGACAGAATCAGCTCCCTTGACTCGCTAGCCACATTTCTCTTTTTATAATGTTTAGAATGTGAAAATTACAAAAAGAGAAATACAAGAAGTCAGTGGAATTGCTAACTAGTTTGGTGTGCAGGTCACATAACACATCTGCTTAGGGTTTTGGGTTGGCTTTTTTATTAGTAAGAGTATTTGAAAGAAATTTACAAAAAGCTTTTGAACTATTTGGGGGAGTCTGCTTGAGTTATAAGTTGCTGTATGAGAGAAAGCACAAAGATGCTTCTTTGGAAATCTGGCTAAGTTGATGGAGGTTGGTAGCAAGGACTGACCGGAAATACTGAATGAAACAAGTCTCACAATTGATGAACTGGAAATTGTTGATTGTCAAGATAAATTAAACAAATAAAGGGTAAGTCAGTGCAAGAAAACATGTATTGTTATTTTCTACAAATACTTTCAGTCAACAGAGATTTTTTTTCAGTGAGAACTCTTGAATTTAGATAGCCTTAGTGGACCTCTTTTCCGTAAGCTTGCTCAGTTGCTTTTGTGAACTGCCATCAACTTCTGACAGGCACAGTGTGATATAGCAGTAATGACCTCCACCACTTGAGTACATATGATACTGTTTTGAAGCAGCTACTAGATGCAATTACTTGATTCCCATTAGTTCTTGTAGTATAAAAACCAGAGCTGTTTCCTGTCACCCTTTCCATGTCACTTAACAGTTTTCTAGACCTCTGTTGCATTCATCTTTAATCATCTCTTTTCCAGGACAAAGAATTCTAATTATTTATTTGCTTTTTATTTGGAAACTATTCTATATCAATTGATTACTTGTGTTCAGTTAACTTTTCTTGACCTGTCACTTTTTGTCAGTATTACTGTTCAAGAAAATTATTTGCATGGCAACTGAAATGATCTTTAGAAACAGTGGTATTTTACTCCAGTTTGTGCTCAATAGTGTCTAGCTTGGCATTTGTCTGCCTCTATGCATAGTTGTTTACTAAAAAGCATAAGAAGTGGTAGCTTATGCATTTTAGGAGTTATGTTTGCAACTCTGGAAGTGTGGTAACAGTTTGCTGGTTAAAAGTTTTGGTTTCTGGCCTCTCAGTTTTGGCATTCTTAGTATATATAAAAATCATGTGGTTTTATCCAGGTTCTGTTGCTAGTCTATTATTTTACTAGGTGATGAAGTGAAATGGTCAAGCTTGAATCGTGGGGCCATACCTGGGCTGTATTGGGTTTTGGTGCAACACTCATGAGTGGGTATTTTGCCAACAGAACTTGGGATCAAAATCATTCTGTTCAATAAAAATTGGCAGTTGCTCGCTCTGTTTCAGAAATATATTTTCAGTGAAAAAATATTGTTTCTAAATGGCTCCCTGATTTCTCTGCCATTTGTGGTGCAACATGCTAACAGTTAATGGAAATGTGGAAATTAAAATATTGCTGTGTAAGAAGCAGCAATAAGCAAGCCCAGTGAGACAGTTCATTTGCATGAATTTGACAGTGCTAGTCATTTTAGGTAAACCAGTAGTTCTAAAATTTTTACCTGTTTTCAGTCTACAGTTAAAATATAATTGAACTCATCATTGAATTGTAGCTATTCCATATGGTGGAAGAAAATTTCACAATGCATGTGTGGGAAGTTTGATTCAGTGCAACATTAGTTATGGGTATTTAAATGTTTTTTCCATTATGTCTTTGAAAATGTCAATCTGCAGGGGAAAAAAAAAAGCTATTATTCTCCCTTCATGTATTATGAAAGATTTCACTTTGATTTTGAAAGAGGATCCAGGTGTAGTGCCTTATTACTTCCAACTATTCTACAAACATCCACTTAGTCTGATTTATGATAGCTAATTATTATCCTGCTAATATAAAATTATATTTGCCTAGAATATTTTTTTAATAAATTATTGGTGTTTTTAATTAAAGCAGAAGATAGCTGGAACTTTGGCTCTTCTCTGGAATGATGTAGCAAGTTTCATAATTAGCTGATTTGTGTGATGTAATCCGTGCACAAATACCTAGTTTCATCTTTTCCTGTTTGTTTTTAAGTGCTCCACCTCCACCTGGAAATGAAGAGGAAGCTGCAGAAAATGGCGTTGTGAAAACGGTAGTTTTAAATGTGTTTTTGAAATACTGCTTTAATTTGCTTTGGTTTATTGGGTATTAATTTGTCTAGGATTTATAAATACATGAATTATTGCGTAAGTGTATGCCTTTGGTTTTGGGGTGGGTTTTTTTTTTTGAAAGGTGTTTGACACTATCTGCAGAAACTCTGTAGAAACTACTAAATTAGGAAGTCCAATTTCCAGCTACAGTTCACTTTTAAAATCTAACTTACAGAAAATAAATGAACAGTACTTCTAGGTTTTTGCGGGGGAAAAACAGTGCTTCAAGACAGCTGTCTCTTCTCAAATAATTCCTTTTCAAAATTATACTCCCTCTGTCTTTCCTCACTGATAGGAAATAAAATCCTCAGATCATTTTTCTTTTTTGAACATGATAAAAATCAGAATTTGCAGAACTATGTAAAAATATGGATCAAGAGATCAATTACACGTGCCTATCAGAGGCAACATAACAGACTCAGTTGGTAGTAGTCTTCAGTGTTCGGTATGTCTTAACTTCAGTGTTAGTATGATGAAGGAAAGGACCAAGAAATGAAATTTGCACTTGCAATGTTGATAGAAGGCCTCAGCTGTGAATGGGAACAATCTATGAGAAAATTCTAATTTTACTTCATTGAGATTTTTTTAGCTTATCTTGCAAGAATTCTCTTAAGTGATGCAGAAACCATTATGATATTTGTGCAAGTCTCAAGGACTGGCCTTTCAGAGTATATTTTTTTCAGTAAGTCTAATACTTTGTTTATGAAAGATATTACAACTAGTTTAAAGGTGGGGAAGAAAAAATTTAGAAAAATTAATTCAGTTGTTTAAACTGAAAAGCTATTTTAAGTACACCAAAGGCTTTTTGTGCTGGTGCTAATACTGTCAGTGGGCAGTAGATTTTAATACGTTAATTAGAAGGAGACAATAGTATACTTTTCTGGACTTGCTGATTTTAAAATATTTCCAAAAATCCTCATTGGTGCAGTTTCCTTCTGCTTGTGTAGCTTTGTATTTTTCACTTATGTAAGGGCTAGCATTGCTAGGATATCATTAGAACTTCTCCAGAAAATTGAGAACTTCATGGTAAAAGGTGCCATAAAGGGTCATCAGCAACCTAGAAAAATGGGTGGTGTTCAAGTTGGTTGAATAAGAAAAGGTGACTATTTCTGTGAGGAGGGAACTAAGAAATTATTGTTTATAAGTAAAATTTGGTTTGGTTGAAAGGTATGTGCTCCAGACAAAATTTTATTTTCTGTTCAGTGTATTTGTAATGGTTCTCTGCTGTGTGGGTTGCCTGGTGTGTGGAAGTGGTGAAGTTCTTTTCAGCAGTGGAGCATCGAAAGACTGTCTTCTGTCTTTGGCTGTCGATTTGATGAGGCTCTTAATTGTTATGTAAATTATATTAATGTTGTATAGCAAGAATGAATTGCACTCCAACATCTTCTGTGCAGCTGTTTATTTTTGTCTAATTTATGTACCATGCAAGTTAATACACAATATAATAGATAAGGACTGGAGCTTAGCTGTGCTTGGATAACTGCAGGTTGCCTGGGCAGAATCAACTTGGCTGCAGTATGTTCAGCCTCTTGCTGAAGGATTCAAGAAGTATATGAATAAGGGTGATCTGCTTGATAAAGTTCACCTGAATTTCACAAAGTTTTTGAAGAAATTCCTCATCAAAGGATTTTAAGAAAACTTAGCAGCTGTAGGATGAGCACCACATGGATAATTGATGTGTAAAAGATAGAAAACAGAGGGTAGGAGTAGAGGTTCAGTTTTCTCAGCGAAGGAAGGTCACTTCCAGTGGGGATCATCTGAAATGTTGTGCATAACTGGTGCTGTTTAATGTGTTTATAAATTAATTGGAAAAGGGGTGAGTTGTGGAAGCACAAGTTTTCTGATGTTACAAAGTTATTCAGGATAGTAAGAGCAAGGACCGTCTGTCAAGAACTGATTGGTTGATAAATGGTTATTGAAATTCTGTATAGAAAAGGAAAAGTGATGTTCATGAGAGGGGAAGCAGGTTTACAAATAAAACGGTGATCTCTGAGCTGACAGTACCACGTAGGAGGGATGCACTATGTAGAAGGATCCATGAAATTGATGGTTAAGTGCTTGTCTGGAGTCTAAAAAGCAGATAAACCTTGGGATGTACCAGCAAATGAATAGAGAACAAAATGGAAGATATCACTGTACCATAAATTCATGTTTCAGTTGCACCCTGAATCCTGTGCTGTTCCATTCCCCTTGTGTTGTAAAGGCTTTACTTCAACTAAAAAATGTTGAAAGAAGAGCAGCAAGAGCAACTGAGGTAGCTTCCATACAAAGAATGGCTGATTAGGCAAGGACTTAGCCTGGAAGACAGGCAGACGTAGAATATGATGAAGGCTAACAAAATCATGTATGGAGACTATAAATAAGGAGTGATTCCTCACAGTCCCTTCCATATGACAACTGGGACTGTTAAATGAAAGTCATAGGAGCCAGGATGAAAACAAGTAATAGAGGTTGCATCTTCATGCAGTAGACAGTGCTATGTAACTCTTTGCCAAAGAGAGTGTCTCTGCTAGGAGTTTATATGAGCCCAAGGGAAGTATGGGCTAGTACTTGTGAGAAAAAATTCAGTGGGGGTTACTAAACAGACAAACCGTAACTGGCTTAGGAAATGCCCAGAGCTGATAATAATCAGCAGCTGAATGAGTGTTAAGAGAGGAGCTTCTTATGAGTTTGCCCTGTATTTTTCTCTCCTCTGTGGTCTCTGGGAGGGAAAACCAAAACAAAACACAAAACAAATGCAAAACACTGGATGAGATGGACTCTTGGTACGAACTGGCATGACTGTTTTACTTACTAGCAAGCTTGAATGCTATAGGGCAGAACAGCACGCATTGTGCTCTTGTATCTGTTTTTTCAGCTTGATCACTGAAAAATCTCAAGTATTTTATACAGCTTACTGATGTTGGGAACTGAATAGATTTCTCTGAAGCGCAGTGTTCATCTACAACTGGAAAAACATTTATTTGAGTTAACTCTGGGTATGTAATTGAGGATAGCAAGAAGCTAATCTTGCATATCTTCAAGGTCTTTCCTGAGTGACGAGATAAAGAGTAGAACTGGTGTGTATGAGCTAGATAGAAGGAAAAAGGATATTAGATAGTGGAAATTATTTTATGCTTATTTAGAAAATATCATGTTTCAGAAACAGCTTAGTATTAAAGATACTTCCCTATTTTGATTCAGGTGTTTCAAATACTTGTAGCATTTCAGCTATGATCCTCCTAAATTTACTGTTAATGCTACTCAGTTTTGAGGTCTAGGAAAAGGAAGATTTTCTTCTTTCAAAGATTTCTAGGATGGATAGTTTTGTCTGGATTATATTTCCATTGTAAAGGTAAGTGACTGCTTTTTGTCTAAGCAATGAATTTTTCTTTCGTAGAAGGTGACAGAGGCTGAGGATGACAGTGATAGTGATAGTGATGATGATGAAGATGATGTTCAAGTCACCATAGGGGATATTAAAACAGGAGCTCCACAGTATGGGTAAGTTACTTGCAAACATTAACTGGGGGAACTTTCAGGATTATATTTAATTAATTCAGGCTCTTTGATACTTGTTAGTGTCAAATTGTTTGCATAGTTACTCTCAGTTTAGGTTTTTCAGCTCTTTAACAATGTTTTTAATAATATAGTGACTTAAAAACAAATAAGTGAAATGAAGTCAGTGAAATACCTTAAAGAACTGTTATACAAGTTAAATTTTGTTTTCAAATTTTGAGAAATAATTCTATTAAGTTTGTAGAGAGTTGGATTTTGTCATGGAATAGCTGTTATGTAGCGGGTTTGGGGTCATTATTGTCATTGTGACATTTTTGTTGCTAATGGTAGAGTGGTATGTACAGAGAACATTAGAAACATTTTCCTTGCTCCTGTTTGTAGTAGATGCAGTTCTAATTAGACCTTTATAGTTTTAATTCCTATTGATGTTCACAAATAAGATTTTAATGTACTTCAGGATGGAGCTGCCAGTCTCAGTAATTTCTCAAGATCATGGTTTAGGCATTTCTACCATACAGGAAATTTTTTGCTACTCTTATTGCCCCATATTCCTTCTTTCTGATAAAGGGCTTGTTTTCCACTGAATGCTTTTGATCAGTGTCAATTTTACCCAAAATTATGAAATATTATTTTTCATTACATGGAAGTTTTCTGAGGGAAGTGGTTTGTTTGCTTGTTTGTCTTGGCAATCCTAATGTTTTTATACTTATTAAAACCAGAATTACTAGAGCATCATTTCTTAATAGAATTATGACAGGTCTGCAGGTAGGTCTGACTCATGTATATTATTGTGTTCTTAGCTTTAGAATGCAGGTGATGTACTCATTTTTGAAACATAATATTTTAAAACTTTCAGTATTTCATAAAATAACTGTGCAAATTAATGTAATGTAAAAAATAGAAATTCCTCCAGTTCTTTTTTTGTCTGCTTTCAATAACTTGCAGTATGCTTGTGGTGTAGGCAGTGACCTCAAATTTTGTGAGACTAAAGCAAAACTAGATTTATATTCTCAGTGGATTTGCTGATGCTCTTTCCATGAGTACAGAAAACAATGAGCAGATGATCCTAAATCTAATTAGAGCAGCAAGTTGTGTGTAGAAACGGTTGTTTTCTGGAAGACCTTTTTTCTAGGCAAATTGTAGAGAAAGTTCATGGAAGGGCAGTAATCTAAAACAAACTCAACATTGCTGTTCATTTTAACTTCAGTGTAACATATTCTTTTTATAGGGTTAAATGATTCTACATCTAATAGTCAACTGCTGTTTAAAAACCCCATAAGATTTGTTTAGCAAGGTCATGCACAAATAAAGCATGGCAGATCAGAAGGTTAAATGTTTTGTGTCAGTTTTATACTGTTGTAGCACTTGAAAACTAAACCTTCGTGGAAGTGGTACCTTAAACTATGTACTGTCTTCTAAATATATGCTAATCTCATTGTGTTTATGGCTGGATACCACCTGTGAGGATAAGCTACATTGCACTCAAATGGTAGTGAAAGCTAGAAGAATAATTCCTAAGGTAGTTAAATCAGTTCAGTATCTAGATTTCTAACTGCGTTTTTAATGAAGAAAATGGAAGTATTTTAGAAAGTGAAATATTACATACTTTTCTGTTGTCCACAAGGATAGGTGATTGCTAGAAGTACTTTGAAATGGACAACCTATTAGTCATTGTGGAGAAATGCTTGTATTTTCCACTTCTGTACAGATTAAATGGAATAATTATGAAAAGAAAAAAGGATCTGTCAACACTTTCTTTTATTATTTTATTTTTACTCTAATCCCTAGAGTGTCATCTGTATCCCTAAATGAACTTCATTTTTCCTTTTTCTCTTCTGGTTCTGTCCATTCTTGTTTCTATCAAGGTCTTTATCCTTTCAACTCAGGAAGAGTGACTGGGACTTGCTTCACAACTGTTTATTAGTTGGAGAAGTTGCTACTGAGCATAGAAAGGTACACTCTCTTCCTCCTAGGCTGATCTCTTTACTTTTACAGTGTTACCAGCTTGGAAAACTAGAGATTCAGGATGGTGATTGAGCCTGGGTCCAGTTTGTTTCTGGATCTAGCTATCTTGTTTTCTGTTTTCTTCTGTTTTAAGAGTTTTCTCTAATTCTTTTTTTTTGTTATTAATTTCTTTAAGTTATGGAGCAGCACCTGTGAATCTCAATATTAAGACAGGAGGGCGAGCTTATGGATCTTCTGGTAAGAACATTTGCTGAGTAATAATTGTAAATATGCAAAAAAAGTTTGGTTGTTTTGGATGAAGGAATTAATTTTCACTTCTAAAACTCCTTGATAAATAGAAATCTGACTTTTTGTTTCTATTTTAAGTGTGTTACAGCTTTTAAAACTTATTTGGTAGAGACAGAAGTCTCTAACTTTCTAACTTTTCTTCACAGGTGCAAAAGTAAAAGGTGTGGATCTGGATGCACCAGGGAGTATTAATGGTGTGCCTCTTCTGGAAGTAGATTTAGATTCTTTTGAAGATAAACCTTGGAGAAAGCCAGGTAATGCTCTGGTTTATGTTACTGATATGTAGGTATTCAGCAGGTTATTTTAATCATAGTTCCTGTTTACATAGATGTTATCTACCATATACCTAGAAGATACTGTACAATGTAACTTGTTAAAAGCAGCTGAGTTACTTGTTGCTTTTGTGCTGTTCCATAGAGTGTGTGGATATGCTGTGTTTCTTAGTATACATCCTGGATTTATGTCAGCAAAAAGAGACTGTAGGACATACTCTTTATTTTTTGAAATACATGTATATTCTGAACTCCTTGGAAATCTGCATTTCTGTGAATATTACTGCTATTGATCTTTGCCATAGAAGAGAAGATAAAGCAGAATAGAAAATAGTTCTAGCAGGTTTGTTTGGGCGTGAAGAATGGTGAAACATAGCTGCTGGTGCTTCTTTGTATCCATGTATAGATGTCTGAAAGCTTTGAAGAAGTTGGTACCACATGGGCTTTCCATAAGTTTCCTGTGTGTATTGTCTGGTTGGCTCAAGGGATTTGGCCAAACTTGTCTAATACCAGTGTTGGGGTTTGGTGGGGTTTTTTTGTTGTTGTTTTTGTTTTGTTTTGTTTTGTTTTGTTTTTGTAGGGGTAGTACATCTTGCTGCTGTGTATAGGTTTTTTTTCTGGTGTTTGTATATTGCTTTGGCAATGCAAGTAATGGAAAAAAAAAAAAAGCAGCCTTTGATAATATTCCAGTGTTTGAACTGTTAGCTATTTGAAATATATTCTGTGCATGTGAATTATGTCTGATCTCTCTATTAGCATAAAATAAGCAAAAGGGAGTGGTTCTTCACTGAACATACAGCAAACCTGTAGATCCTACATTTATTCCTTTGTAAAGATACGGGTATTATAATATCCTGTGATATTCTCTGAGTATCTCGTTTGATCCCTGAGATAGGATGCTAGGCAGGATACTCTTTCTGATTAAATTTCAATGTTTTTCTTATCTTAGCCATGAATATTCATACATTTACTGGTGTAGGACTATTGTATATTTCAGTAGTATGTTTTAAGATCAACTGAATCTGTTCTGATATTATAAATAGAGGTGTATGTGTGTTCAGCAAAGAAAAGAAAAGATGAAGTTTGTAATGTCCTAAAATGCTATGCTTTTCTATTTAAAGGGGCTGATCTCTCCGATTATTTCAACTATGGGTTCAATGAAGATACCTGGAAAGCTTACTGTGAAAAACAAAAGAGAATACGAATGGGTCTTGAAATTTTACCAGTTACCTCAACAACAAATAAAATTACGGTAATTAGTACAACTTTTGTGGCATTCTACATGCTTTTTCCCCTGTAAAGCTGCTCGTGTGTTATAAGCTTGTTCTGCGCAGTTCAGTGTGTGTGTAGTTTGCACCTGACTCCCCACCCCTAGCCTAGCGTGTTCCTGTGTTGCTTCACTGGCAATTTGTGTGGGTAGTGTGACAGACTAGCTACAGCTAGATTGCATCTGTACCAATATTCAGATTGTGGCCCATCACTTAAGAGTTGAATGGTATCTTAATGGGCAATGTGTTATTTAACTTAGGCTGAAGACAATGCTATGGAAGTAAGACCAAGTGCAGAGATTCTCGATGGCAGATACCATCTTTTTAAGGTGAATTTTAGTACACTTTTGTTGGTTGCTCTCATTTTTGTTGAGTATTGCTTCCCATGCCACCACAGACTGATGGAAGAACAACTGAAATGGACATAGCCATTATTTCAAACTCATCTTACATCAATGACTTTCTGCATATGTCACAAAATACTGATTAAAAAATGTTGCTTTGTTCATCACCCTTCTGCAAGCATGTGAATTAGTGGCCTAGTGAACTAACAGATTTCCCAGTGAAACTAATTTTTCTTTATGTGATGGTTTATTTTTAGTTGTAGTGCATTTGTTTGTGCAGATTAAAGAATTTGTGCAGATGTTCTGGGGAAACTTTTGTAGATTATGGCATGTTTATTTTTCCTGTGGCCTTGTAGTCCTTACCTTGTTTTGTAACACTTATCCTTGGCAACTCTGAGATGTGAAAATCAATCTTCCATATTTTTCTGTTGCCCTTTTGGGATTAGATGGCAATAAATCAAGGTATATATAATACTTTTCCATTCAGAAATGCTGATTTTCAGAGAGCAGAAAAATCTGTATGACAAGATTAAGGATTGATCATTTTTGTCAACTTCTTATTTTCTCATTTACTCTTTCATTTGATACTAAAGTTGAAATTAAAATACAAAGGTTGTTTATTTTCAATATGCAGACATTTTTATTCTTGAACTGTCATTAAACCAACTTGGAAATGTTTGTTGCTTTCTTCTGTATAATTCTGTGACAAAAGTGTCAGTTGCCGACAAGTATTTCTGTTTCCCTCATATGGTACTTGAGGGTACCTGGTCATTTTTACTTTATCTTAGCAAGAACAGATCAGAAGCTCCCCAGGGCTTTTAGCCATCCTCAGTTATCATTATAATAGTGTGATGGAATGGTGGAAATGGTGGGCAGTGGGAGTTATTTGCAGCTGACTACATTCTCAAACTTCTCTGAACTGTTGTCCTGAAGGAAGAAGGATAAGTATTCCAAGCCAAAGCTTCCCCAATTCCTATCTCAGTATTGACTCTCTGGGGGTCCAGTGACCAAACAGTACAGTACAACACAATGCAACAACAGTATTTGTGTTGTAAGAGTCTGAAGTTTGTCATGTGTTTTACAAGGAGTTAACATATAATTATTAAGTAATTTCCTTTTTTCCATTCTTCTGAAATACTAAGTCTCATGTAATTTACATGGTATGTTTAGATTAATATTCTGTAACTGGCAAGACTTTGTCACTAAATTTTCCAGTTACTCATTAATTAATAGAAGTCTTATGGATTATTCAGATAAATACTTATACCAAACCTATTTTTTTTGTTTTGTTTTTTCTTTTTTTCTATTTCTGGATGCTAAAGTTTAATTCAATTTTTAATGAATCTTAACTATTTATGTGCATTTTTGTGGATTTGAGAAAGAGGTGCCTGTGTTTTAGAAGTGAGATTCTGTAAAAGCTTAGCAGTTTACTTGTCTACATAAAGCTATGAAATCATAGTCTATATGATGTTATACCATGAGTGAACTAGCTATGTAGAGGGATGTGGCTATGTGGTTGGTACAGTGGGTGTCTTTAAAAACTGAATCAGTACGGGATTGTCTTTAGTGCTAACCCATGTAGATTTTTTTCATGTATAGTGTGCTGATGAAGTCAAACAATACTTGGAAGTACTTGCACCAAAGGTCTTGGCATAGCTTTAATAATGTGTGTCTGGAATTTTGCAGTATTTCAGAAACAGCAGTATGTTTTTAAAATACTCAATCTGAACTAATGAAAAATCTTTTAAAGTTTGCATAACCCAGAGTATGAGGTGACTTCCTGGTATGACTTGGAAATTAAGTGGTTACTAGATTGTGTGGTCAGTAAGGCAGATGGAAAATCCACTCAGTTTCTTGTCTCATGGTTTGTTGTTGGGCAGCATACTTGTTAGATATCTCTGTCATTAAGATTATGGATATTATTTTTTTTAACGTTTGCTTCTTTTAAAAGTTGAGATGTTATTTTGTTCATATAGGAAATTCTACAAGAAAATCAGTTTGGTCTGTTCATGCCTAAATCAAATGTTTAGAAAAGAAATACTAGAACTGTCTAATCTTCTGTAATAATTTGTTTTCTGGGATATTGCTTCTTATGTATATTAAACACAGTACTTAATATATCCTTATAAAATATGGAATTTTACTAGCTTTGCAAAGGTGACAGTTTTTTTTTAAATCTGATTGAAGTTAGACTTGCTTACTCTTTTTATTGGCTATGTGCTATGTTGAGTGTTGGGGCTGCTACACTTCTGAGGTTAAACTAATGATGAAACATTACTTTGAAGGTACAGCAGGGCAGAACTGGAAATTTGGAGAAAGAGTTGGCAGTGCAGTCGACCAAAGCTGATTTCACATCTCCTCCTGCCTTATTCAAATCAGGAATTCCAACAAACAGGTCAGTTAGACAGTTGTAACTCAAGACCAAAAAACTTTTAATACTGCTACCTCTATGTATTTGAAATTCATGATTTTGTAGGAAAAAAGGAAAATATCTTTCTGTAATAGGCAGAAATGAGGGGAAGAGTGATCCTAATTGCTTTTAGCCTTCAGTCACCATTATACGTGAGTGCTATGCTACCTTCTTGACTCTTCAGGAAAGAGAAAGTAGAAGGAAATGGTAGAATAACCAGCAAGAACAAATAACAAGGCAGCTATAAAAATCGAGGTGCTGATGTATGACACCATGGTTTTTTATGTAGAATTACCATGGCCAACAAAATATTTCTAGCTCTAGTATCTTTATGGGTATTAGCTAACACATATTTTCAGTTAAGCAAGATGGAATCAGACAGCTGTGACTTCAAAAACTGGAAGGATTCATGGAACCCAGTGTCTTTCCTGCAAGGTAGTTTTAGCTTCTCTGCATGTGACTATTTCATTATACTTTCTTTGAAATGAAATTATTTCCTTACTAGAGTTTCTTCCCCTCCTTTTCCCAGCCCCAGGCTTTAATATATTCTGTCCTTTATATCAAAACTACTGTTGTTTGATACCTGGCACTTGGCTTAGGATTAATCCATGCTTCTGCTTTACTTCAGTTATCAAGGAATCCTGTTTAGGTGTTTTGGTTACATGGAAATTAAAATGATGGTAAGAAAGGTAGAGCAGGTTGTACACTTTCGCTATGAACAATTAATTAGCATCTTATGACTTGTCTTGAGCGCTGCATCCATAAGTATCTTGACTAACTCAGAGGCACTCACGTTCAATTATTCCATCCTTTAAGAGTCAGCTCAACACTCAAGTACTTTTATCTTGGGTGGGAAAAAAACCACCTTGCTTCATACTCTTGCCTGCATTTTTCTTTTAGAATATTCCTCCTTGTAGCCTGAATTCTTGTTTGAGCTATCAGGTTATAGTACCCTGGTTTTAGTAGATCTTGGTTCTTTTTTTCCCCATTGTTCTTTGTCTAAAGTAGTAAAAGTATTCCAAACTTTCTACCAATCCTGTAATTATTTTTTTAACTTTTCTCTTCTGAATTGCTTCTGATGTGTGATGTTCTTGTAACAGAGTTCTCAGAATGCTATGTACTATTCACGGGGTAATGATTCCAAATTTGTTTCTAATACAGGTTTTGTTACAGGATTTAAATTCTTTATGCATCTCATTGGTGGACAGAGAATCTCTAAAATACTTCAGAAAGTAGTTAATTACCAGGATATTAAAATGTAATTAAGCTTAAAGTTGTAGAAAAAACACATTGCGTAAATTCTGTTTCTGTGAAATTTGTATTTCTTGTGAGAAAGCTTAATACAGTAAGGTTATACCTGTGCATGGTGTGCAGGCTTTGTAAGTAAAATATTTTTTGCATACCCTAGCTAGGATAAAACTATCTTACTATAAATGTCTTTATACTATATTTTTATGTGATACTTTTTTCTTTCTGCCAGAAGTTGGCAAATCCATGTTTAAGTAATCATCTTCCTGATTTATAAAGATAGTATATTGATTGTTAATTAGAGCTTTTCTGAGAAACTTAACACATGCCTGTTTTCTCCAGGAACTAAGTTTACCTTAGCAAAGGTTGGTAAACCTATATATCTTTAAGAATGAGAAGCCAGTAAGTGAAGTTGGTCTGTGGGGTAGATAGAGGAAACAAAATGTACATTTTCAGTTGTATCACTTGTGCATTCCAGTGGTTACAGTAGGTTGGTTTTATATATATATAGTGTGAATACTGTAATTGTAAGTTGTTACAATGGCAAAACTGACTTCTTTTGATATTTAATACCTGCTCCTTCAGATACATTTACTTAAAATAAATTCTTGTGTAAAGAAAATGTACTTCTAACAAGTGGTCAGAAGAAATTTTTGAAAGAAAATTGTATGCTTAAAAGTCTTGACAGTAGCTCAATGAATTAATACATCTTAACTGTGTGGATTGACTTCTTCGGAACACAGCTACTGTTTTCTGTATTTAAAAACCTTTATTACTAATTTCTTTATAACCAGGCAGTGTTTTATGGGATTGGACTTTCTTTAATAAAAGAGTTAATTTTAGGTAGGCAGAAATTATTTAGCAATCCAGCTCTTTAATAATTTAAAATAATTGCCTTTATGCCATGAGACATTTGCATTAGCTTTGTTGTGAAATTGTTGTAAACATTTCTCATGTAGCAGTAAAACTAGTTGATATATTTCACAGAGACACAGAATCATCTAGGTTGGAAAAGACCTTAAAGATCATCTAGTCCAGCCATTAATCTAACATTGACAGTTCCCAACTACACCATGTCTCTAAGTGCTGTGTCGACTCTACTCTTAAACACCTCCAGGGATGGGGACTCCACCTCCCTGGGCAGCCCATTCCAACCCCTAACAACCTGTTCTGTAAAGAAATGATTCTTAATATCTTGTCTAAACCTTCCCTGGTGCAATTTGAGGCTATTCCCTCTTGTCATATCGCTTATTACTTGGTTAAAGAGACTCGTCCCCACCTTCCTGCAACCTCCTTTCAGGTAGTTGTGGAGGCGATGAGGTTTCCTCTCAGGTGAAATGGAGGGAAAACTGATGCAACTGGGGACAGCAGCATTGGTGTGGGGATGGGTAAGGAGCTGGGCATGAGAAGAGGAATTCAAAGAGTGAAAAAGATAGAGGCAGGAGAAAGACCAAGGCAGTTTCTCACCAGAAGCCGTACCTCTTCTCAGTCACAGGCAAGCACTATCTCCAGAAAAGCTGTTTCAGGCATCAGAAAGTGGCAGGAACGATATAGGAGGGACAATGACCTGAATTAAGGGGGGG